TTAACAGGATCGCATAATTTCAAATTTTTGGGCTCAGTTTGCATAATTTCAGAATTTTTTGTGTGCATAAAACCGCGGGGACAGATTTTTGTACACATATGACCATAGTCCCATCTTCCAAATCCCACCTTTTGTTTCCCATCTCTCACCTCTTGTTTCCCATATACCACATTCAAGTTTCCGTATCCCATATCCCAACTTTAAAATCTCTAAGCCCGCTTCGTTTTCTTTCATCTCAGGTTGGAACGCCTGAAGCAGGCCTAAATATTAAATAATTGTTATACATCACTGTCGCCAATGTCCATATCAGATGTGCTGTTGAAGCACAAGTTTTCAACAGTCTGATTTAACACTGTTTAATTCGGAATCAAGGTTTGGTCTCCATGGGATTTCTTTGATGTATCCTCTTCGGAAGCGACCTCTTCGGAAGCGAGCTTATTTTTTACTTTCCCTTACTTACAATTCGCCCAGCACGACTACATGGATCCATAATAAAATGTTGTGATGTCAATTTGGTCAGAGAATTGCCGTCAGAATCAAACTTTCATGTAAGAAATGTAACAAACCGACAAGACTAATATTATATCCGAAAACGCTCCCTCTCGAGAGAGGTAATGTGACTCTCTTTACACAGCACCAGTCGTCGTATTTCAAGGACCCAGATGATGGGGAAACAACTAGTTGTTTGATATCATTAAGAAGAGACAGGGACAGTTTAAATCTGCAAGACATTGTTATAAAAGATCGCAACATCAAATCGTAAAGAAATTGTAAAGAAAGACTGCATTGTGTCGCCACAATATTCACTTTTTAAGTTGGACCAAAAAAAATTACTCTCATAGCACGTAATGTCATTATTTGTCTGGCAATTCTGTAATTAATATGATGTCGACCAGGGACAACGAGCTAGACTAACTTATACACAATAGCCATCGTTGCGATATGAAATGACTGGACAGCAAACTACATGAGTACCATCGGTGAACATCTTGCTGCTTAAAATCAATAAATGATTTTCTTACTTCTGATCCACCTCCTCAACCTCAACCCTTTTTCCTTTTTTTTCTTTTCGTTCTTTTTGTTTTTATTTGAATGTTAATTTTTGTTATCTTTAATTAAATTAAACAACCTCAGCAATTCTCGTTCCATAGATTTAGTCTGTACCATTCTGTACCTACTCTTCACCTCTCCAAACAAAGTTGTACTCACACACACACACACACACACAGACACACACACACACAGACACACAC